GGAGCACAATAAGCAGCCTATAAACGTCTAATCAAGGCTGGCTGTGCATTTTGGGTGGAGGCAGTTAACAGTAATTATTTAGACATCAGAAAAAGTATCAGTGGGAACGATCAGGGATCTGAACAGTTACGCCCTTTGAATTTCGTCATGTATGGAAAAAACATCGAATTCCTCTGTTATACTCGAGTTTTGGTTGCTCCATTTGTCAGTATTTGTTTGTGTTATACCAGAGTTTATGTGGTCCTAACACTAGACTTCGCTTTGTCTGTATATCATTGTTCAGATATAGTTGATCATTAATCCCAAACTGATTTCTTTTAATCAAGACGCAGGAATAAACAGGGTGACCACATGCCAAACATACTTTGCTCCTTCTGTGACCCTCACTCAAACAACTTGACCCTCCCTGTCAGAGCTCTCAAAGACTGGATCCCATTCATTTTCAAGACGTCACAGTCCCCTGACTCAGTGTTATTATCATTATTCCTTTCATTCTGCTTGCCCTGGCCTCTCCTTTGAAGCTGGTGATGGATGTTGGACAAGCAAATCTCTGGGCGTAGTAAAAACCCAGCATTCATCTGTCTGAGCTCCATTCACAATGCACGGTGTTGTGCAAAAGCAGATCAGAGAGTAATAATACTGGAAAGCCACCCAGACTGCGATTGTCCATCAGAGTAAATAGTAACGGGGGAAGATTAGCTAGCTGTGGTTTTACTCACGTTGGGTCTCAGGCTCGCTGCTTGTCCGTAATACTTCTCCGCTGCCTCATTTAGGCTGGCTTGTCTGCAAAAGGAAAACAGAGAGGCGGTCATTACTCATTTTTATTGCTGCTGGCTTCGGATGAGGCCTTGAACCCCTCGTGTTTACTAGCGCTCGAGGGTCAGTGAGAAAGTAACGCAGAGGAACAGCATGAGGGATGAGAAAAGCCAATCCAATCGCCGTAGGCTTCTCGTTCGATAGCATCTTTCGATAACATCTGTGCTGAGCAGTGCACTGCAAGCACTTTCTGTTCTAATTGAACCTTGAGGTCAGGACATCTAGTTCATGGCATACCAAGAAACCGAGGCTCATCTGGAATATTCACTGTATATATCTGTTTACATTTAGTCTGGAAAAATGTGGGTTGCAACACTTGATAGATATTGAGATAGTTAAACTGTGCAAACACCATTAAAACAGAAACGTAATCATACCATCAATAAAAACCCCAAAACCAAAACAGGACAGCAGAGCGTACAGATCGAATGCTCCAAAATATGCTGCATATGCCAAATTGTGACAAAAAGGATTTTTGAGCAGATGGCTTGTCGGCATGAGTCCCTGGAACCAGAAACACACAGAAACACT